AGAATAGATTGAGGCTCTTCAAATCTGTTCAGCAATCACCATTACCTACCTGTGTGCTGTAAACACCTTCGTCTACCAAAACCTCAAAATGCCTACAGCCATTGTGACTGGTGCCACAGGCATGTGTTGCCCGGTTTATCCTTCATGTGCGATAGCAACTGACCCTGAAGTTAGGCATCCTCGGTCGTGAGATCGTTAAGGAGCTCAGCAGCAATCCAGAAGAATGGTCGAAGATCTATGCCCTCTCCCGGTCAAAGAAGGAAGACTTCCCCCAGAATGTCGTCCAAAGCCACCTGGACCTATGCGCCACCCCTGAAGAGATGGCGAGAGAGCTTCAAGGGGTCGAAGCTGATTACGTTTTCTTTGCCGCCTACTTGGAGCAAGATACCGAGGCCAAAGCCAGCAAAGTCAATGGTGAGTTTGACTAACCCCTTAATGAACCCAAGCACTCATCAAACGCAGGCGATATGCTGGATGCGTTCTTCAAGGCCTTGGTTTTGAACAACAGCGCTTCCAAGATCAAGCGCATCATTCTCGTCTGTGGAGCAAAGCAGTACGGCGTCCAGCATGGCCGGGTTAAGATCCCGATGCAAGAAACGGATCCATGGTATGAGCCGAACATGTAGCCATCACCGTCTTGGCACTAACTTCTCAACCCAGGCTTCCCGAGGACGCCCCGTTCGCACCAAACTTCTACTACCGCCAGCAGCGCATCCTTCACGCCTTCTGCGCCGCCCACCCGGGCATCTCCTGGGTTGTAACTTACCCAAACGAGGTGATCGGCTTCGCCAAGGGCAACTTCATGAACTTCGGCACCGCCGTCGCCATCTACGCCGCGGTCCAGCGCGAGCTTGGCAGCAACGAGCTCGTCTTCCCCGGCGCCGAGGACTTCTACACCAGGATCACAATGTTCTCAGACGCCCGCCTCCACGGCCAGTTCTGCCGCTGGGCCGCGCTCGCCCCTGAAGCAGCCAACCTCTCCTTCAACGTCGTCAACGGCGATGCGGCCTCTTGGCAAGACCTCTGGCCGCGCGTCGCCCGCTACTTCAGCCTCCACGTCCCGGCAGACCAGTTTACGCGTCCGGCTCCGACAGCGTCGGAGCGCAAGCTCGCCGCGCACACGCCGTTCTCCCTCTCCGCGGAGGCGATCGGCGTGGCGACGAGCAGTGCCAGTGGCGAGCAGAAGCAAGAACAGTCGCACATCCGGCAGAGGATCGACCTGGTGGAATGGAGCAGGAGCGGCGAGGTCCAGGAGGCGTGGAGGCGGCTGGCCGCGCGGGAAGGCCTCGACGGGGACGCGCTCGACAGGGCATCGTGGGCCTTTGCCGGGTTCGCGTGGGGACGGGACTACGATGTCGTGCTGAGCATGAGCAGGGCGCGTCAGCTGGGGTGGACGGGCTACGTGGACTCTTGGGACGGGTTTGAGACGGTGTTCCGGGGACTGGCGGATGCAAAGGTCATTCCGAAGCAGAAGTGGTGAAGTCGCAACGGCCGAAATAGCTGTCACGTCCATAGTGGTATTAGATGACCCGGTGACCTTTTCGACATGTACCGTAGCATTGCGAAGGAAGTAAGCATGTCGATTGTCATTCCTCTTCCCCTTTCACTGCATTTCTCCAGAGCCACGTACGCGTCGTTTGAGTACTGCACAGACACACACCTTCCTACCCTTCTTCACGCTTAGAGAGAGACAGAGAGGGTCGAAGGAGGATCCGGTCTCCATTGAACAATCCATCGAACCCATCATGGTGCGTCGGAAGCTAGGCCGGCAGTTGTCAGCATCAGGCTACTTTGTCGGCTAAGCAATCAATTCGAAGGAGTCGAGCACGGCATTAAGGCTTAAGCTTCCGCGCTCGCTTGTTAGCGGGTTCCATCGCGAAGTCCGTTTTATCAAAACAAAAGAAGCACTGCAGCAGTAGTGCAGAAAATACAATCGGGCATCACCGGATAAACTCCATGTCCCCAAATCCACCTTATTCTTCTGGGTGTTGCATCGTCGACGTTGCGAGTCGAGGGAATAAGGGTACCTTAGCCAGGGGGGCAAAAGCAAAAGCAGAAGCTCAATCGGAACAAGGGCACGGAGCTGGGTCCGGTTGTAGGTAACGGTAGCACGGAGAGTGGGATGAGCAGAATCCCGTCAACTGACCGCACTCAATCCGAAACCGAAATCTCCTATTCCTAGCCATTGTGGCCCGAGTTCGAGCTCTGTGTCGTGCACCAGCTTTTGATCAATGCCACATTGTGCCTGGCGAAACACCAAGAAGCGCCACGATGTTCACACGCAAGGGCAGGGCAAGGGCGCGTCTAGCTCGCTTACAAGGTGACATTGATCGAACCGTTCAGCCGCTAGAGTTATGCGCGCGGGCTGTGTTGCGCTGTTTGACATGGCTTCCTCTGCCCTACAGACCAGGTGTACGAGTCGGTCACCTTGTTTGCCCAGGTTCGCGTTGTCCGATTCATGGCCTTTTCGATCAGCCTAGGCCCTTTTCTGCACCCTGGATACGGCTGGATATGGGATGGTAAAACGTCTCCGGGGATAAAATCGCAATATTTGCCGCATGCTATCATAGCTCGCTGATTCTATGATAGCAGAACGGACGAGTGATAGGCGGCCAGGCCAGGCACGTTGGTCTGAAGTTCGGGACACATTGCCCTTCAGGCAACGATATTCCCACTTCGGGCCAGAGTCCACATTTTACCTCGTCCGTCCCGTGGATTGCCCTTGGTTATCCCGTCGAATAGGATATGGGCAGGCGGACGGTAAAATCGCTCACTGGATCTGTCCGTCCGCTGTGCTGTGCTGGCCGAGTCGACAACAACAACAACACGCAATATGGTCGTGGCAGCCTGTGGCCCGCGTGGCTATATGCACTCACCCATGATCTTATGCCATCGAAACAGTCTGATGCTGCTGACAGGGAGGCTGACGGGCGTGACAGGCCTGGCTCTGAGCCTCTCGGCTTTGCCAGACAACGGTGCCAGATAGAAGGAAGCTGAAAGAGAAACAATCTATCATAAGAAAAGGTTGAGGGAAAGCTGAAGGTTTGAGGGACGGGCGTAAACTCTCGCCGAATATCGATCGAGACGGAAATATCTATTTCGGCGCAAGGGCGCGATGGGAATGGAGTCAACTCCACCAACGATGAGCTTATACGAGGAAAATGTGAAAATGTGATTTGACGCGCCGCTCGCATGTGCTTGTACATTTGTTTTGGTGTCGGTGCAGCTGTCTGTCAGTAGAAATGATAGACGCTGATCGCCGCATCAGCTCGTATCGAAAGCCGAGGCAGCGGCTTCGAAAGATGCGTCCTGAAGCGCGGCCGTCCAATCGGCGTCAAACGGTTGAAATGACAGTTCCTCATTTTTTCGCGCGCTCATCTCAAATTTCATTACATGAGAGACGCCTACCGAGTCCTTGGGAAGCGCCCTTTCATCACGTCAAAGTCGCACTAAGCGGGATGCGAAACAGCGCGACCGCGACAAACCTCACCATTGATTGATGAAGCATCAAAGAAGTCGAGCCAAGCGCGCCGCATGGGAATCAGAAACAGGCGCACAGAAATGAAAAACACACAAAAAAAAAAAAAAGGAGGAGGAAACTTGGGGGCCGTTTCTGCCCAAGGGCTCCAGATGGCAGCTTAAAAGGTTCAACTCAAAATATTCGCAAATGCAGCCCTGAGGGGCTGGCCGCTAAGGTCGGAATCGCCATAGCACTCACATTGGACCCTGAAGCCAAATAGAAAGATGCAACCGTTGATCCATTGATATTGGTGAAAATAAAGAAAGGCGGCCGATGGAGGTGAAATTCGTACGAGAATAGAGTAGGCTCGTGTTTCTGAAACGCAGTCAATTTGTTCTAGAATCCTATTAATAGCGGCCGCATCCTTGAAGAGCCCTCTAAGCTTTGAGGCACCCTTTGAGCTTTGAGCGCGGCCCCGGAGAGTCCTTGTGAGGTCCCCTGGACAGCCCTGTTTGATGGGAAATGGGGAAGAGGAAGAATCCAATGCGAGATGGGCAAACTTCAAAGCAAAGAAGGATCCCTGGGTTTCTCCGTGGGAGTTGAGTCCCGTCACTTCGGCAGCCAGCAGGCAAAAGCCCAGAGCTGCCGGAGCCTGGTCCTTTCCGATGCTCCTCTTCTCGACTCTGTGGCCAGTAGCAAGTCAGGCAAACGGGCAGAGAACCATGGACAGGCCCGGTGCAGAAGACGGCGGAGACAGCGAACAGGTCCCCCAATTAAGGTGTTCTTAGTCATTATGCGACTCTGCGCTGCGCAGATGCCATGCAGTCGAGTCTGGGCAACGCTGCATCATGACACGCTGGGCCGTGGCCCAGGCTGGGCTTCTAGAACCGGAATTGTATGACAGGGCTTCCAGGCCTCTGGCCATCCGCCATCGTGTGTAGCATCAGATGCTGCTGCGCGTGCGTCCGCAGCAGGCAGCCCGCCCAGCAAAAGAACCGCAAAGGCCGCAAAGGCCCAGAGGGTTCCAGCAAGGATACATCTGGTTGCTTCTGGAGCACTGGTCAGTCTCTGGTACACTGGCTCGCCCCCTCCAACCCTTCGCGGTCCTTTGTCCCTTGCCCATTTTACTCCACACGGACAAGCAGCCAGCAGAAGGAAAGAGACTGGCCCAGCGGAAAGCCAGAGCCCCGGCCGGCTGCCAGAGTGCTGCTGCAAGAAAAACAGACAGAGAGAGCCACAGTTTGGGCCGAACCCACAGGCCAGGGACCGCTTGACTGGAGATACCCACAGTCCACGGTCCAGCCAGACGCCCGTCCAGGGCGAGCCAGACGCCGTGGGCCCCTCTCCAAATCTCTCTCTCCCAGCCATGGCGAGTTCCCCCCCGGAGCCGTGGGAGCATTGGCGGCGAGGAGAGGATGCGCATGGCCCAGGGCAAGGCATGTAGGTACTGCGGTAAGGCCAGGTATGGGTAGAACTGGGGGACTCTACTCTGTAGAGAAAGTAGGTACATCTGCTGCTGCTGCTGCTGCTGGATCCATACATGCCGCATGGGATGGAGTACCTATGGTGCTATGTATGGATGTGGTATATGGAGGGTACGGATACCGTATGTAAATGAATGAAGGTGGATGGATGCCGTCTGGTGTAACTCGCCCGGTCTGGTTCGTTGTCCCGTGGATGCCGTGCCGTAAGATGATAAAGACCCTTTGAAATCCCCTCCAGCCTCCTTTCTCCCCCCCGTTAGACTTTTTGTGCATCTGCCTCGTCTTGGACAAAAGTTGCTGCAATTCTCACTTGTGTCTTCTTCTCTTTTTTCCTTTCTCTCTCGTACCTTCCCACCCCAAAAGTAACAGGTTCCCCCCAATTTGCTTTGAGGCCACTTCCGTCACCGTCCGCCATCTTCAGACGATTCCCTCAGCTACCCGACATCATCGGACTTCCAGACAAAGACATCCAACCGACGCATCAATTAGTACCTGCAAGAAGTCTCTAGAAGATTACAAACCGTCGACACAAATCAACAACAGCAGCGCATTATCATCAACAACAACAGCAAAGCAAACCCCCACTGCTACTCCACCGGAACAACACTCGCATAGTCTGGAGTCACCATCATCCAGGCACACAAACAAATAGCAGCCTCGACGACAAGTAGGAACCTCGACCACACGTCTACGTCCCCCGTCTCCGTCTTCGTCTTCCTCCGCAACATCGACGACATCCCATCGTCGATAGCCTCACTCTCTCCCGACTACACCCGCAACACCGCAACCACGGCTTCTCCAGCGATCGCCACCATGGGTTCCCCGAGTGGAGCCCTCCGCCCCCGAGCATCGTCAAACTTCATGGGCATCTCAGCAACAGGATTCCCGCCATCAATGACGCCTCAGGAAAAGCACCTCTTCTCCGACCGCGTCAACTCGGCGACAACCCGCCTCTCCAGCACAATGGCCGCCAGCGAAACCGACACCGGCTACATGTTCGTCGTCTACTTCCACAAGAACACCGCCGCCGACGCCCTCTCCCTGCTACAGGCCGCTGACATCCGAGTCAGGGGCCACCCGATCCAGTTTTCCTGGCACTGAACTCTGCTGGCTTTCTGCTGCTGATCCTCAGTCAGTGTGCCTGATCGATGGGATGGATGCGCGCGTCCAGTCACTGATGTGCGTTTCTACCATCATGCAAAGTGGTCTGGTCTGGTCTGGCCAGGCCCGGTCCGTTCTGCCAGCAGCCCCAGCTCTGCGTCTGGCTGGAACAGACCGAGGGTTGATCCTTTCTTCTTCCATCTTCCTCTACAGCTGCTTCTTTTCTTTTCTTTGCTTTTTCTTTACCGATACCCAAACTACTGTTAGCACCACAATTCATCACTACACCATTTTTTTATCATCCATCATCCGCCCGGCATCACCCAGAACCACAACCACTAGCACACAGTCACCTTTGCATACATACATACACTTCCACATCCGAAGAAGAGGCGAGGACATGCGGGAGGATTAGGAGGGAGACAAGAGTCATTGGTCCATGTTCCCCCATCATTCCCATCTCCAACCATGATCCATCCAATTCCCATGCCCTCTCCCTAGGCTTCTCCAAGGCTCTAGGCTCGTCCTCCAATTCCCGCCCGACCGCCCCGGGAGCGAATCCTTCAGCGATCCATCGTCCCTCCCACCCCCTACCCCCCCTCGGCGATCTGCAAGTCTAGGCCACCCTAGGCCACCCCCGTCCTCCAGGGCAAATCGCAAATCATCCATCGGGGGGCCCCCTCCACCCTATCTCCATCATCTCACCTTATCTCATCAAGAATCACGCAAAGGAAATTCAAAAAAGTACTTGTATATCTCTATCACTTTTTTATTTCATACCGTCTTTGGACACCCCTCCCCGTTTACCCACACAAGGGCACACTTCGCTTCGCGTTCGCGACCGCACTCGATAATGTTGCAGATGGAACCGCATCTTATTGCAGTTCTTCCTGCACATCCGACTGCCCACTCTTTCTGCTTCCCCGGGTGGACCGGCCGCCCTCGGCCGGCAGTAGCCCATGTGTCGAAAGGGGTGTGTGTCTGTTGTGACTGAGTGTGTGTGTGTGTGGGTTCAATCTGGCCTGTCCATTGTGTTTCCTTCCCATGGCGAACCGGAACGCCGTTTGTCACGCCGTCTGTCCTGTGCATTACGCCCAGTGTAGTGTATAGGCAGCGGCAAGGCAGAATCTGTCACAGCAGCAGAGACGGTCAAGAGGAGCCAAAGGAAAATTCTGAGATGAGGTGAGGTGAGGTGACGCGGAGCAGGATGGACGTTACGCGGCCGGGCTTTCGTCACCACCAGGACCAGGTTATCTGGTTTCTCCCTCAGGTCTGGCCGTCCATCCACCGCAGTCTACCGTCCGCCTGCTGCAACCTCTTGCAAGGGGTTCCAGTGCGAGTGGAATTGTGGATTGCGGGTTTGCGGATTGCAGCATGGCACGAACGGGTGTGCACATTTTTTACCTCTGGGTTATTTCGTTCTCACGTCTCCCTCGCGCTGGATCAGGGTCACATTCGTTCGGCAATCGGACGGCCAGTGTGGGACGCCGCCGTTCATCATTCAAATTGCACCACCGCCGCCGCCGCACTTCGGGAGCGAACCACAACTGGGGACCACCTTAGATGAGACGCGCCAACGCAATCATCACCGATGCGAAATTCAACCCAACTGGCAGCCGAAACCTGGTCTGATGGGGGGGGCCTTTTTCGAGACGGGAACGGGAATGCGGATGGATACGCGGGAATTGGATTGGACATACTACGGAAGAGTGGAACGGTAATTGGGAAGAATTCGACCCTCGCTGCAATCGGGAAATCCAAAAGGTTCGTGCACATCGCAATCATTTCCCCATCACCCTGATTTTACTTTTTGCCCTTTTGTTTGGCCTTGTCCAGACGGTTCCAACGGGTTCTGGCCAGTGTCAGTGTCAACACCCTCTTGGTTGGTCCTCGCAAGGATCTTTTCTCACTGGCAAAAATGTCCAAGCGGAGTTGCCTGGAGCGAGGGCGAACAGCCACACGCTACCAATGACACTTTGTCCTTGCATACAAACATCGGCTGACAGGAGTTCCAGACCAAGTTCGATTTTGATTACCGGCCCGACGTGGGGGAGCATGAGGAGGGGACCGGGGTTTGGTCCAAGGCAACTTTGTGTGGCGGGAATACACCAGGAAGACCAGAAAAAAAAAGAACAACCCCAATCATTCCCCGCGCGAGTGAAAGGGAACCCTGAGCCAAGATGGATGGGCCAAGAGCAACGCAAAGCAAAGCAACACCGCATCGCTATTTTCGCGCGTCATCCCCTATTGCGCGCCCACTGCCACAAAGCCTCCGACAAACTAGAGTTTCCGGAAGATTGTCTTTTGGAGTAAACACTCTCTTGGCCCTCCCACCAAACATACCAACCCCGCTTCACCTGGACCCCCTTTCTTCGACCATCGCCCATTCACGCCTCCATCTCGAATTTACATCGGGCATCGGAGCAAGCACGCAGTCGCGTTCACCCTCCCGCCGCAGGGTCCTCAAGCAGCGGGCGGACTACACGCTGCGCGGGCTGTGTTACGCGGCAGCCTTACCTGTGTGCATCTTGGCGGGATGGAAGGGAGGAAAAAAGGACTTGTTGCTGTGTCACACGAAAGAAAGGCAGCGGGAAGTGACCAGTCACACAAAGGCTGTTGGTCACTTTTCGCTTGGCTTTTGTCATCAGATCATGTACGCGGGTTCAGCATTGCCAGGCGAGAATGCAAACCAAACCAAACAAATCATAAATCACAAAAAAACACAGAAGAAACTTTCACACACACACAAAGAATAAGGTCATCAGACCGCCGCTTCCTCATCCGTTGTTTCCGTGCGCCCCTCTCTCTGTAAACCTTTGGACAGAACAATGTGAAGCCATCACCACCATCAGAAAAGACCCATGAACCATGACAAACAAAACCGTTAATAACCAAAAAGCCCACCCCATTGTCCTATCCCATTTAATCTCCGTTTCGCCCAACTGGAATCCAGATGGACCGATTCCCACCCCCGAACGGTTGCTAAAACTGAAACAGGGGAAATTTTTACATTGCGCGGTCCCGAGGATCCGGGTTTGTCCTTTCTTTTCTACGCAGCGGGCGAGTGAAGTACATACTTCGTACAGCGCGAGCATAAGGGACGACGGATAACCGTTAAGCGGCGCCCCAATCATCAATGAATCCCTCGCGCGGGAACAGGCAGCCAGCGAACGGACGACGGCACGGACCCCTGGTGCTGGGTTGATTGCGTGTAATTCCCATCTACATGGATCCATGGACGGCAGCAGGCGAGAGTGACCCCCCCTCCCTTCTCCCCAGGGCCCTCCAGCTGCTGACACTAAACCCGGTGTTCCGCGTTCCGGATATCCCGCGGCAAATCCAATCCCCGTGTCCCGTGCTTTCCAGGCCTCAAGCGAAGTCCCGGCGTCGGCGATATTGGTTCTGCCGTTCGTTCCTGAGTTGGCGAGGTTAAACGGCGCGGGGCCCGAGGATCTCGGACTAGCCCCATTATCGCTCCGAGAATCAGACGGCGATGCATAAAGATGTAAGCCGAGAAGACGCCCATCTGTGGGCGAGTGACGAGTCTTGAGCCATCACCTGAGTCTTCCAGAAGGATGGTCTACGGGTGGGAGCAGGTGGGAGAGGGCGGCGGCCTTTAAGTCCATGTCGCCACAACATGCCCGCTACGGCCGACAACGCCCCCAACCGTTCATGCCCTCGCCAGCTGGAAAACTGCTCCAAGGAGAGGGGCTCGCAAGCTTACACCCTCACTGCTCGAAACGCGAACTCACTGAGCTGAGGTGCTCTGTCAGAATGCCATCGGCTTACAGTCCCCCACCCCCGAATCCGGCCTAGCCTCACGTCACGTCTGCCCGTTTTCTTTCACCTGCCTCGTCGGTTCCGCGGATATGCTTATGATGCGCTCCCTCGGCATTTGGCGCAGACGCGAGGCTAGTGAGGCGGGCTTGTTTTTGGGTAGCGGCTCGGGAGCCGGGTGACTCAGGGTAGCGCGTGTCCAGCGATGCAGCAGGCTTACAGGTTGCTTTCCGAAAGGGGTTTAGACGGGGTCAGGCTTGACGTCGGGGAGGTGGCCGATGCAGACGGCTTACACTGGTGATGGCTTCATCCGTCGAGAAAATAGGGGGCTTGTGTCTTGCTGATGGACCCGTTAGGCTGCCGCGTTGCGACAACAGCAAAGCTTGTGGAATTGAAGGGGAGATGGGCGGATGAACAACATTGCCGGCGGAGGAACTTAATCCTCTTGTGCGCAAAGATGCCATAATGTGTTTGGAAAATTGAACATGCGAGGCGACCGGTCTTGAGTACTTTCTCGACGACGAAGTTTTCCTGGTATAAATGGCTGAGTGCCTAGCTGCTTCAACGCTGAGTGCCAGACATCTCTGCGCCTTCAATCTGATCATTGATCTAGAACACCAAGTCCTCGTGGGCAGTTGACACAAAACTTTCGCCAATTTTCCAACCAAACAGAGCTCTTGGTATCCGAAATCTTCACGTACCGGATTCGTGTGAGACTTGACATCGTCTTAAGATATCAGCACACGGACTTCGGTGTGTTGCGGTAAGCACCGGACGAAGTTGACATCACTTCAAGTAAATCGACACATACATCATCAAACTCCAGGATTCACGTACGTCGGCATCTCCTGTTGAGTAACAAGACTCTTCATCGCCAGTCTTGGAAGAACATACTACTTCATACACATTGAAAGCTGAACTTGAGGACGCGCGACTTGCATCGTCAGCCATACGCCCCTTTCTTCGTTTTCAGTAACGTCCACGACCCATCAAAAATGAAAGCCCTCTTTGTTCATGAGAAGGATCTTCACGATCCAACTCCGTCGATAGCATCTCTCGAAGGGAAGGTCATCTTCGTCACCGGAGGTAAGTCCCAGCACGTAGCCTCTCGCCTCTCATACGTCTTTCCGCACTCAACATCGACTCTCATCCTTTTGTTGTATTGAATTGTTTTACTGCTCCTCCACCACCTTCATTTCTGTTAGTGAAATTCGACTTTCAAC